TGTTAGGATAGAAGATTAATCATCTGTTCTTCTTTCTCTCGTTCTTTCTTTTGTTCATTTATCGTCTTATATATTTATTCTAAGATTTCTCTTCTCTTGGATGTTAAGAAGAATGTTCCTTAACCTCATATATATATGTATATATATGGATGTTTTTTTTCTCAAGGGAGAGGTTTTTTTTGGATTTAAAAATAAAGGAAAAGAGAAGGGCGTGGCAACGAGAAATCTAACTGGTGCACTAGCCGATTTATTGTTGAAACATCATTACAATAAATAATCGGACCCGATTGTCCAAAAGTATTATTAAACAAATTTCATATGTCAACTCCTCAATATTATCAAACGAGAAGTAACACAAAAATTGATAAAACAATCAGTGAACTTTCATCTGATCTACCATCTACACATCGAATGGCATCATCACATTCAGATCAATTAACAACAACGACTGATATTTCACAATCGATCAATAACAAGCAAGCAGAAAATCCAATATTGAAATCGAAGAGTTCACAATATAAAGAAGAGAATGTATCATTTAATGAACAATTTTCAATAATTGATGAACATCATTCAGTCGAACAATCGCCATCAATATACCCTGCTCAACAAACATTACCATCACATGATATGAAAACCCTGTTAGGCCCATCATCATCGGTTATCAACGCTGAAGAAACCCTTCGTTCATCTGTTTCGTCAATAAATCCACAAGGATTAGATTTACCAACAAACACATCATCAATTCCGCAACGTTTACAATTAAATTCAAATTTGAACAACGAACGAGAATTAGATGAGTTACAATACACAGCATTACATCAATTATCACCAACTACAACGTTTGATGAAAATAATCGTTTAAAATTAGAAGTTGAACGATTAACAAAAGAATTAGAACTGATAAAATTACAACAATCTCAACAGCAATCACATATACGTGCATCTCATTCTGATACACCTTGTGCAATTGTTCAACAACCGACGACAGCAATAACACAATTACCATATTCGAATGTGAATACGACACCTATTCATATAATAGTTAATACCGATCCACTTCAACAAATGAAAGACTTTGTCAAACCGTTCAATGGCAATCCCAACGATGATGTTATTAAATGGTTGGAGAGTATTGTTCATTATTTTGACATTGCACAAATATCAGGTGATAAAGAAACTTTATATTTTCAATATGCTCCAGCATTCTTAAAGGAATATGCATATAAATGGTGGGCAGATCAAAAGCATTATATATTCAGTTGGTCAATGTTCAAGCAAGCAGTGATAACACAATTTGCTGAAAAGAATGAATATTTGATAGCACAGCAATTCGACCAACGAAAACAACAAATTAATGAGCCGGTCATCAAGTATTATTATGATGTCATAGATTTATGCAAGAAATATGATTCAGATATGACAGATAAACAAAAAATTCGTAAATTAACCAATGGACTTAAATTATCATTATATCAAGAAGCTATTAAAGAAACTTATTCAACACCATTTGATTTTTTAACAAAGGTACAACAATTGGAAAATATTCAGAAGTTGATTGAATTAAGACAAAATCAAACAACTCAAGTATCAACTATAATGAAGAATGATGACAAATTATCATTACCATCACATTCTTATCAATCATCGAGTCGACAACCAAACAATTACTCGACAAGACCGACATATTATTCTTCATCCGCACAAAATGATTATTCATATACAACACAGCAATCGTTTCCACCACCATCGAATCCATATCCATCATATGATCACTATGAATGTAATCAGAATCAACAATATCCAGCATCACAGGTTTCTCAATCTCAGCAAAGGTACAATCAACCCTACTCGGTTACACAACATACAAATTATTCATCAGGAAAATCAGATATCTATTGTTATAATTGTGGTCAACCTGGACATATTGCTCGATATTGTCAACAAGAGACTAGAACTTTATCAACAGGTCAACAACAACAAAAATATTCAAAAAACCAATAGCAGGGGTGCCGGATGGTGGTTCCTCTGAAAGAATAATAAATCCATCACCATTATCATTCATCACAGCTCCGGTTAATGGTTTTCGATTACAATGTCTTTTAGATACAGGAGCTAGTAATACATTTATTCACACATCAACGTTATCCAAAATTCGACATAATCCAATTAAACGAATAAAAGGTAAGTATACATTGGCCGATGGAAATACCACAGTCGATATTGATGGAGAAGTTGAAATTAATATTCAAATAGGACCCATTAGAACGAGTATTACTGCATTGATATCAAAATCTTTATCAACATTATGTATATTAGGTCAAGATTGGATAAGAAAGTGTTCAGTCGATATTTGCCAATCAAGTAAATTAATTATCATATACACAACACGATCATCAGCTACTATATCAATGGACGATAATGTGGACAAGCATAATTTTGATCTTCGATTAGCTAACACCATCTTATTAAAACCACAACATGAATCAATTGTTCGACTTAAATCACCTATTTCTTCTTCGTCAAATGTTATTTTTCATCCTAATCGTAACATCCAATATCAAAAACTTATTGCCATTCCGAATGCTTTATTATCTATACGAAATTATGAAACATATATTACAATCGCTAATCCAACAAATAAAATATGTCGAATACCTATTCATACTAATATTGGTTTTTTTACCGTACAACCATTAGATATTCATTGTTATAGTATCAATTCATGTTTAAATAATTATCAATGGTCGTCGAATGAACAACAACCAGAAGTTGATAAACATGACTCAATAGAAGCTATATTTGATCAATTGTTAGATCACATTCAAGATCAAAATGAAAAATCCATAATTCATCAATTGTTAATTAAATATAAAAAGATTTTTGATACATCTATACATTCGATCGCTAAAATTTATGCTCCACCAATGATTAAAACTGGATTAAATCTTCCGATTCATTCACGTGTTTATCGTACAGATCCAATCAAACAACAACATATTTCGACAATTATTGATGATATGTTAAAATCTGGACAAATTCAAAAATCATATTCTAGTTGGTCCTCACCAGTGATCTTAGTAAAAAAAAAAGATGGAACTTATAGATTTGTTATTGATTATCGTCAACTAAACAATATCACAGAACGAGATAGTTATCCTTTACCACGAATTGAAGAAACATTAAACAGATTAAATGGTAATACTTATTTCTCGAAACTTGATTTGAAAACCGGATACCATCAAATCCCGATTCATTCATCCGATAAAGAGAAAACAACATTTGTTACATACAATGGTATATTTCATTTTAATGTAATGCCACAAGGATTAAAAAATGCACCATCTAGTTTTCAACGTATAATGTATGAATTATTGGTAAATACACGATGGGATTTTTGTTTAGTATATATTGACGACGTGATCATATTTTCTCAAACATTCGATCAACACGTTGCTCATTTGAATGAAATATTTTCGGTTTTACACAATGCCAATCTACAACTTAATCCACAAAAATGCTCTCTTTTTAAAGGCGAAATTAATTATCTGGGCCACACAATCAATCAACAAGGAATTCGACCACTTCAAGACAATGTTGAATCAATTATTAAATTACCAACACCAACAACACCAAAACAAGTCCATTCATTCATTCAAGCTGCCAATTATTATCGTGACCATATCGAAAATTTTTCAAAGATTGCTGCACCATTATATCCTTACACAAAGAAGAACGCCACTTGGAAAGGTTGGACACCACAAATGGAAAACGCATACAATGAACTTAAACGCCGACTTACAACATCACCAGTATTTCTCAATTTTCCCGATGATAAATCACCACTTGTATTATCAACGGATGCTTCGGGTTACGGCATGGGTGGTGTTTTACGACAAACAACACCAGAAGGATCAAAAGTAATAAAATATGTATCAAAAAAATTTAATGTCGCACAAAAAAAGTACTCTACGACCGAAAGAGAATGTTTAGCATTAGTATGGTGCATTTGTAAGTTGAAAGAATATATTTGGGGACGACCCATACAGGTAGAAACTGATCATTGCCCCCTATGTAGTTTTAATAAAAAGAAATTTCAAAATTCGAGAATCGAGCGTTGGCAATTACAATTATCGGAATACGACATTACAACAATCACTTATAAACGTGGAAAGTGTAATTGTGATGCCGATTTAGTATCACGTTTTCCATATGATGAAGCTGATATTGATGATGAAGAACATCCAATGTGTGTTCGACACTATACACAACCTTCTGCTAATCATATAACTGCTTTACAAATCAATGTCATTACAAGATCGAGAGCCAAACAATTATCAACGAAATTGTCCGTACCATCTCCATTTACATCTTCATCATCGAACATCACGACAAGATTCAAAACTAAAAAGATTAATATCTCACCTAATTTCGACACAACACTTGCTCCATTTTCATCAACAACACCTACAATAGTCTTGCCTTCATCATCATTAATTGATTTTAGTATCGATCGAATTCTAAATGATCAAAGGAATGACATTGATATTCAAACAAGAATACAAAATATCAAAGATGATCCTCGAAAATATTTGAACGATGTTGTCGATCAACAACTTTTATATAAATTAGTTACACGAAATGATCATACGAAAATCAAATTACCATGGATACCAATGTCAATGATTCCAGACATTCTATCCGCATACCACGATCATCCACTTAGTGGGCATTTTGGTGTCAATCGTACGTATAATAAAATAAAGGATAAGTTTTATTGGTTTCAGATGTTAAATTCGATCAAACAATATATTCGATCTTGTGCACAATGTGCTCAATTTAATGTACAACGACGAAAGAAGCCTGGATTATTACAAAAGGAGCCACTACCAGAGGGTGTGTTTGAACTAATGCAGATGGATTTTTGGAAAGCACCTATTCGATCTTCTGAAGGCAACCAATATGTATTAATAATTACTGATCGATTATCTAAATATGTCTTTGCCCGGGCATTATCATCAGAAAATGCCAGAGACGCTGCCGAGATGCTATTTGAAGACATTATATTGAAACATGGTGCAATTCGATGTATACAGTCCGATCAAGGTTCTCATTTCAGAAATGAGCTGTTGTCAGTAATCACACAATTAACTGGTTGTAAACAAGTATTTTCAATTCCGTACCATCCTATGTCGAATGGTCAAGTGGAACGATTTAACTCAACCTTTTGTGATCAACTCAAAAAATATTATCATGATAACATCAATGATTGGGATATTTATTTGCAATCCATTGTATGGGCATATAATTCGTGTATTCACTCTGTAACTGGTTTTATTCCATATGAATTAGCATTTAATCGTCGATTAATATCACCGTTTGAATTTCCATCATCAAAAATTGTAATGTTAAAACCACACGATTATTGGGAAAAAGCAAACAAATTCAAGCAAGTGGCCATTCATGCAGCTCAATTCAATATCAAACAACAACAACAATTGAGTAAACGACGATACGACAAAGGACGAGCTAATCCAATATACACACTAGATGACATGGTATGGATAAAAATATTGTCTGGTCGTTCGAAATTAGATCCTCGATATCATGGTCCATTTCGTATTATAAAGAGAATTACTGACGTCAAGTATATCGTTGAACATACACAAGACCATTATCAAAAAGAAGAACATGTCAACAATTTTATTCCATTTTACGAACGAAGTTAAAATTGTTCAATACAACACATTATCAACTGAAGACAACAATCGTGAAATTCCATATTTTACAATATTCCAGACAATAATTGTGAAAAGAATTTTACTTATAACATTTCTATCACATTCAATTGTTTATGTATTGAACATTTCGTTCTAACAAGATTTTGCTCATTGTTTACTTAAACATTGTCCGAAAAACGATTATATGAATTTTATAATATACCTTACGTTATCAACGACATCTAGACTGTTTGATCATCACTGACAGAAGAATGATAATACAAAATTTTATTGATCTATATATACAAGTGGCAGTTTATTGATCTATATGTATTCAAATTTACAATCGGCACTCAATGTAAACCAGAGATGGGACCGGTTCGGTTTTTAACCGAACCGAACCGACCGACCGTAACCGAAATCGGTTCGGTTGGAGATTTTTAGAGAATTCGGTCGGTTACGTTCGGTTCGGTTAGAGACTTTTTCGGTTACGGTCGGTTCGGTTAAAAATTTTAAAAAATTCGGTCGGTTATGTTCGGTTCGGTTAGAAAGAATCAACATAATCGTTTCATTTGAGTTCAATGGACTTTTTCAGTGAAACATAAGAAGAAAAAAGAATATAATCGTACAACAACTAGCTGTTGCTCGCAACGCGGATTATCTCACATATTTTTAAAATTTGCCCTGAGAGGTAAGGAAGTTATAATACAGTAAGAAGATCCAATAAATAATCTTTATTCTTTGCTTTCTCTAAGTGTTCATTATTTTTAGTTGCTATTATTTGATTTGTTGTTGCTAATTTATAAAGCACTAATACCCTAACTAAAATAAGCTAAACTTCGCTTTCTCTAAACTCGGTTCGATTACGAAATTTTTGAAATTCGGTCGGTTACGGTTGGTTCGGTTAGAAATTTTTAAATATTCGGTCGGTTACATTCGGTTCGGTTAGAGATTTTTTCGGTTACGGTCGGTTCGGTTAGAAATTTTAAAAAATTCGGTCGGTTAAGTTCGGTTCGGTTAGAGATTTTTTCGGTTACGGTCGGTTCGGTTTGGCAAAAATGCCAACCGATCCCACCTCTGATGTAAACCAAATATTTTCATTTGGTCAATAGACAAAACAATGCATATCTAACGACATGTCGAATTTTCCGAATAAGTTTTTCTCAACACTTCTATTTATATATCTACTGGTTTTCATAGATGTATAACCTACATGATTTCGTTTTATTTTAACCTTTTGTCACTTTACTTGTTAACCGTTTAATCTATTTCGATTTATGTTCGATGTTTTTTTCTCTTCATATTTTTCTTCGTTATTACAATAGTTTTGTTACTGTCATGTTAACTGTCGATGAGCAGATAGAGCGCTCATCTATCGTGGGAAAGGAGGTGTTAGGATAGAAGATTAATCATCTGTTCTTCTTTCTCTCGTTCTT